TTGGGTTCCATTTCAAGAAGTTGGGAAAGCAAGCTTAGCCAGGTCAGTCATTGCTCAGTTGCCCCCAAGAAGGCTAAAACTTCACTTCTGATGTAATGTTATTAGCAAAAAAACATCATCCTCTTAGGGATATGCAGTTTGAAAACTGGTTCAAACATCTGTCATTGAGCAGTCTAGTCACTCCTTTTGTTTTTGTTACCTATGAGCAGAAAGGCACAGTGTGAGTCAAGTTCTTTGACTTCTCCAGAACTGTCAACACCATCCAGCCCTGTCTCCCAGGGGAAAAGTTACTGACCTTAACACTGATTAGTTTAGATTAGAATAAACTAAATAATGGACTACCTAACTGGGCTGGAGAGGAGTGATTCATACAAGTGCTTTGGGATCCAAATTAAAAAAAAATTTACTGGAGAGCAGACTGCTCTTCCTGAGGTGACTCAGAGCTCAGTCTGGCAGGCTCTGTTGTAGATAGTGCTCTGTTCTTTGCTGTTGGGTGTTGGGGTGGTTGCATCAAGGAGTTAACAAGCAGATAAGGAGGTGGACTGGAAGTGAACAGTTTGGAGTCAGTGGCAGAAAGAAGGATGAAGGACAAGATCAAAACCATCCCAGATCTCACTATCTGTATGACATGCTGTAGCAGATGGACAGCTCATTCAGCCACAGAATAATCCCACCTAGGTGCAAAACATTTGTACCCACTGCCATCAGACTATACAGCAGCAGTGGAGACCAAAGACTACCATTGTCTCTTTGTTGCACTGATATATTGTCTTATAGTTAGTATGTAACTCAGGAGGTAGAGCAGGTTGTGCACTAATTAGAATTTGGCGGTTAGATCCCCGGTTCCTTTGGTTCCAAGTCAAAGGGTCCTTGAGCAAGATACTGAACCCCAAATTATCTCTGTTTGTAATGAGCCTCTGCCATCACTGCATGAATGTGTGTTAAAGGGTGAATGTGGCATGTTGTGTAAAAATGCATTGAGTGGTCGGAAGACTAGAAAGGTGCTATACAGGTACAGGTCCATTTATCATTTACCGTTACCACCCTGTTGGTAGACCACCTGGCCCTTACTCTCAATTTTTAGAAGAGTTTAAGGTTGTTATTACTAATTCTGATTTTAACATTCACTTCAATAAGTCTTCCTGCTAACACTGGAGAATCAGTCCATTTACCATTATTTATCATATATTCAATTATACTACAGTATACTGATAATATATTATAAAATATATTATATTTAATGTCTTCAATTACTATATTATACTACTTTTCACCTAATATTATGTCTTATATGCTATACTATATTATACTGTACTATATCATGTTATTCTGCTTTATTACATTTAATAAAATGTTTCAATTATATTGCTTTATTAATACAGACAAATACTAAGTAGCATTATATCAATCACACCACTGTCACATAGACCTTGTAATTCTGTCTTTTTTTGCTCTTGTATAGTTTCTGTTTTTCTGTTATATTTTTATTTCCATTTTTACATTAGTTTTATGTACCTCTTATTATTTATTTTGTTACCTTCCCTATTTATCTATACTTATTCCTGTCCTTGTGCTGCAACAACAACCATATTCCCCCTTCCCTTCCCTGGGAACTGTATCATGTTCTGATTGCACACTGCATACAATCTGTATTGTACAATGGAAAATAACACAATCTGTGTGTTTGCTCAAAATGACCTCAGTCTCCTACGAAAATAAATATGCTATTGTAACTTGTAATAAAATATAGATGCCTATATATTTATGGGAGGAAACTTTTTCAAGTAGAGGGTCCACCAGAGTTAACTGGAAGACCAAAAGATTTTTCTTAATAATGAATAGTGAATAATGAACAGTGAATTATTTTCATACCACTCCAATAATCAATCCATACACTGCTGAAGAATACCAGGATCACATTTAGTACCTTGCAAATACGAAAGTGAAGTATCATCTGAAAACTTGTAAAAATGAAAAAATGTATTTGGAACATTAGTTTTACAATCATCTGTAGGAGAGGTGAGCTCACACAACCTTGGGATGCTCCTGAGTTAGGAAAAAAAGTCTGGTTTAGAATAGAATAGGAATTTTTTTTAAGAGTATGAGAAAATGGAATGGGAGAAAAGTAGTAAGAGTAACAGACAAGAAAATAGAAAAGAATAGCATTAAGCATAATAGAATAGGATGGAAATCCTAAGTAACAGCCTCAGCAGTGAAATCTTGCCTTGTCCTGATTTAGGTTAAAAAAAGTCTGTTACACTCAGTGAACTCAGCGAACTGCTACATATTAAAATGTTTAGGCAAAAGTTAAAGGCTGGTGAGAACAAAGCTCTAACATCAGATCGAGGCTTGTCACGTGTATCCTTCTCTTCTGTCTTAGTACTTTACACACACGTGGCGGCGTGGAGGCTCAATGTGAATCTTAGGTTGCTCGACAACGCCACCTTCGGAATTGCACCCCAAGGAATAATAATAATAATAATAATTATTATTATTATTATTATTATTATTATTATTATTATTATTATTATTATTATTATTATTATTTTACATTGATCAAAAACACAGGTTCGTTCCACTCGACAGGCAAGACACGTGGTTCCCAGTTTACAGAAATACTTTAATAATATATATATTATCACAAAATTTAGCATTCATCCCAAATAATAAACAAGGAGCCTAATCAGGGGGCTGAGGCCCACTGGTGGGGAAAGAGCAGGTGAAGGGGAAGGGGACTCAACAAAAACTAAATTAAAGGAAAAGGGTTCACCCAGACACACGTGGCAGTCACACACTGTGGTATCACCAAATCCAAGGAAGCACAGCACACAAGAGGAGGGACACCACCACCCACATCACCAGCACCACCACCAGCCTGCAGCCACTGAGAAGGAAACAAAAAGGAAGTTTACAACGGAAATAATTAACCCAAAATGTACAAAACAATACACACCATAAAGCAAGAAATAATTCACAAAATAAACTTAACAAAACAATTTACTTAATCAAAACAATAAAGTACAGAAAACAAAACAAGTAATACAAAACTAAAGGGATTAACTCCTCACAATCATTCGGCAAAAATTAAAGGGATAAACAGGTTAAAAGTGTGGTGTCGGCAGTCCACCATGCAAGCCGGCAGTAGCCAAAAGCCAGCAACAGCAGCACCACCAAGCAGCAAGGAATAAGTGGCTGCTGGAGACAATGTCGTATATAGCAGCAGAGACAAACTGATTAGCAGCAGAAAGCAGCAGACAAAGCTGTGTACAAAGCAGCAGTGGCCCCAATCAGCTGGTGGCGGAGTCACGAAATTGCCACCTGTAGATTTCGGCCAGCTGATGAGCGTTCCCTGTCAATAAACATAAAATTAGTATGGCTGAGCTACATTTATCAAAGCTTTTGGGGGCTAGATTTAAGGTAGCATACCTGTTTTCAAAGTCAAACCTGCACAGGGAGAGGGAGGGAGAAAGAAACCCACACGGCAGCGGACATCTACCTGTGACCACACTAGCATTAGCTACAGGATAGCATTCGGTGTAACACAGAGAGAGACACTTACCCGCTCGAGAGAACCAGCGACTAAACGGAGCACGGAGCACGCAGTCGCTGCTCTGCAGTGAAAACACAGCGCTTTATGCATGAGGACACAGTGATAAATGAAACGAAGCAGTAGCCGCAGCAAGGGCGCGGAGCATTACCTGCACGGGCAAACACCTGAGCTGGAAATGATGCATCAGTGAGAGCGCGAGAAGGAGGGCCGTACTTATGTACTGCCGCCCTAGTGGTCAGCTGACGCAATTAACTGCAGCAAGGCAACCCTATTTCTATGCTGCTACACACAGAAGATGCTGTGTTGAAGGGGGGAGGGGATGTGAACACACACTGGTTGTGTGGGTTGAGGCAGCAGCTATTTTTAGCAGGAAGTATTGTTAGACCTGTCCTGTGGTATCAATTTCCTCACAAGGACCTCTTGTGGTCAGGTGGTCTATCGAGCTGTCAGTCTCTTAGGGATGTGGTCAATGGATGATTGACACTTCATCTTTCCAACAGTCAGTGCAGGTTTCTTGGCAGCTTGGCAGGTGACTACACTTCAACACACGTGTTGACCTTGAACTGCATTGACGATATGCTGTCAACAGATAGACCTATTATTTTGTATTTTGTATACAAAACAAAAATATCATACGCCATGCTGCCTCTGTTAATGTTACATTTTTAGTGTGAGTAAGATCTAAAATGCAGCAGTAGTATGTTTGCCAAAACTGGGACCTCTTCATGGCTGTATCATTCAACATGTAACTGAATGGACTTTAATAGGGTCATAAAGTTAAGGTGAGATATATGAGACTCTGGTTTGTTCACATAGCAGTTCTGCTCTGTGTGCAGAGTGAGTAGCGCGACTAAAACAGTTTTTTTATCATCTACATCACTGAATGAAGGATTTATTTGGACCAAACCAGAGTTGATGATTTTTGAAACAGCGGAAGGAGCAATCCACACCAAAAATGAAAACGTGACCATTACTATAAATATATCTAAAAACAGTTCAAACTCACTACAACTATAATGACAAAGACAGGGGCTAATGATATCGCTTGGATCAAATTCATGCTGATTTGATTTGTGGTACACAACTTATTAAACACTTATGTAATGTAAGGATGAAAGTACACATAAAAACACATCATTGTATCGGACATACTGCCAAATGTTCTTTACTGCTGAAGGGGTCTCTGAAATCCATAATGATTTTTGTATGACTAAAATCTGTCTCTCTTAACACCCCTTCTTTGGGTGAACGCATAGCCTTCAGGTTTTATTTTTGTTTCTCTGCACAATGTACAGCAGTAACAGGTCTGCAGCAACTTCATCCATTT